AAATGTTGAATGTAGATTGCGTCATTCTGAGAAACGAGGGAACCCTCAACAGTGCATGTAGCCATTGTTTGTAGCCATTGTTTGGCATGCACAAGGGTTTATCCTCTACGAACACAGGGCGAGGGTTCCCCTCGTTTTATGTTTTCTCAGAATGACGCAATCTACATTCAGCATGTTTAGAATTCGTATCTTGGCATGAACAGACGAAATAAACTTTTTAGCCTGTTATAGTTGAGCTCTGAAGACAAATGACACTACGTTTGATTTCGATGCTTCCATATTTGTTTGAACAGATAAAATCAAAGAAAACGTGAGTTGCTCTTTAAAGCTTCTAAACCAGGTGTTCCCCTTCAGTTCAACTGTAAACAAGTTTGAATTGGGGTGTATCGTATGAAACGATTATTACCGTTTTGCCTTAAAGGACATGCCCCTCTGACAAGGAGGGTGCTTTTAAAAGTATGGACACTTCCATCCCACAATTCAATTACCATTTAACGCTGAATATAGTTCTGCGTCGATTTCCTATATGGAACAATATGTTTCTAGACGACCCATGGATGTGGAATGCCCAACCATCACAGGTCACCGCCTTTCACATGCCATTGCCAGAACTATTACACTTCTCGATGGGGGAAAACAAGAGAGATGGAATGGTCAGTCAAGAGGCCGATACAACCACCGAGTCACGAATTTTAACCATTTTAAACCGAAATTTCCCCCTTTTATTACAAATTGCAGATCTTTTGAGCTCACGTCCATGCTGTTTATTCGTATTTATGATGTTATTTTGACCAAAGTTATTTCTGATGATTGTTTTACGGTGGTGACATTACGAAATGTCGATGAGTGTATAGATGATGATGACGTGGACGTACATCACGTGTGACATGTTAAGTGTTACATTGCATTTCGTCATCCCCTCACCTAATCCGGGGAACCTGTTGTTGGTGACGTGGAACTCCGGCCTGTTGCTAAGTTGGTGCTGCCCGAATGCTTCCCGCATGGTGGCGCTCTTGCTGATCACTACAAGTAGCTTCCCGGCTATGTGGAAACTCAGTATATCCCCGTACCTATAAAAATGCAATACTCCACATTTACACTTCCAGGCGAAAAGAAAAACAAAAGTCTTTAATCCCTGCATCTTTTCTCGGCGTAAAGGAGACAGCACGACAAGGCCAGATCCACAGTCATGCCCTAAAGCTAACATACAATTGAGCAAATACAGTTGACTTCAATTTACATCTCTTTTCTCTAAAATTGACATGATTCGTTATTTTCAATTAGAAACATACTCTTTTGTTCTATCAAAGATTTCTGCAACCTTTTCACTCAAGGTGATTTCATTCACAATCAGTGCTGTAGTCGAGACCATCACAAGACCAGGCACAAGACAATGCACAAGACCAGTCACCAGTAACAAGGTTAACTATGACAAAGGAATGCTTTTGCTGCAGTTCATTTGAATAGCTTGTGCATTGAATTTAGACTGGAGGTCTTGTGCTAGTCTTGTGCTGGTCTTATGAGGTCTTATGAAGGTCTTCAGAGGTCCCGACTACAACACTGTTTGCAAGAATTTCATTCATGATTTGACAAGAATAGTCAGCCAAAGGTTTTACATCAAGGTGGCATGGCTGCACAGCTTTGGAAATTTCTAAAACGGTCCTTCTATCGCATGTATTGTGGCCAACGCTTCCCGTTAATTAAACTTGCTATGTAATAGGTCAGGTATACTTATCTGCATGGGTTTTCTATTCAGGTCCAAACTTCAGTCCAATGGAGAATTTGGAGACGGAGATGAAAAAGAGACTATTCAAGAGGAAACCAATTACGCAGTTCGACTGAACTCAACCAGTATACTGCCAACACAAATGGGCTGAAATACCTTAATTTAGAGATTCACAGGTCTCTTAATTCACACTATTGTAAGCGACTCGTCGATGGTTACCATGCGACACTGACTTCAGCAAGGTATTAGGCAGTATCGGAGTGTGCTGTATTTAAACTTTGACCCACTATGTTCGTTACAACTTAAGTGTAACTGTAAAGAAAGTTATTCAGACTTCAGAGTCAACAAGTTACCGTGAAACCTTTCATGGGAATGAAATAGAATAGTTGAATTTATCAGGGGAATGGAAAGAATAACGAGTAATGCAGAGAGACTATGCACAAATAGAAGTCAACCGTACGACGGCACATGCTATTGTTGGTGTGCTTCATCAGGCTGTCGCCTGACGAAAAACAACAGCGATTTTTAAACTCTATTATTCGAACCAAAATCAGAGGTCGTTTTTGATTGCCTTCTTTTGTGTTGTTTTGTTCTAACCTGTCGCTTTTCAGAATTGTCTTCATTTCTACCTCTTGCGTGTCCTCACAGTTTGGTTCTTGAGAAATGATGATTTTCTCGATGAATGTATTCTAAAATAACCCTCGCGAATGCAGAGTTAAACCATTCCAGAAGGTTACACGAAGGTCTGAAACTTCATAAAAAAGTGGGCGGGCAAAATGAGCCACAGTCCTATGGCTATAGTTTCGTTAAAAGTTATAGACCTTGCTGCCTTGCTAACAAGCACACATTAATAAGCACAGGTAGGGCTGTTTGGGCTTTAATCCATATGTGAATTTATAGGCAAAAAACAGATTGATTTACTTTTCAAAAAATATTGTTGAAAGCGTATATCAGTCTTGCCTAATGTTTGACTCCGAGTGAATCACTCGCACAAAATACCCTGAGGGAACTGGACGCACCTTCCTGACAGCTCAGACAGAAACTCGTGGGCGACCTTCTTGTCGACGGCAACCCTCCACAAGATCTGCGGCAGGTAGCCCAGGATGGGCCAACCCCAGGGACCGGGAGGCAGGTTCCTGGGCCGGCGGAGCTTCAGCATCAGAAACACGGTAAGGAGGAATACGAAGAGTCCGATCAGAGCTGATCGCCCACCCGCTGGCCATCGACTCCAGCCACTAGCTGTCACACCAGTAAGAGTATCTTCCATTGCCAACGCTCACAGTCTGGGAACAATACAAACAACAGAGAAGGTAATCTACGGGTGATAACCAGCAACATTCTGTGCAGCTTTGGTAATCAAATAATTGTTAAAAGATGTTTCTGTTATCCTATTTGGCATGCTGAGCCTCATCTGAAATATCTCATCTTCTTTATTGATAACCAGTTTAGTCTTAATTGAGCCATCATAGTTCGCTGGAGGAACTCAAGTATTATCAGGCTCTGTCCAGAAAGTGGTATACAGGCCTGGACATCATGAGCTCTGTTCCTCCATCCTCACACTGATTTGGATCAGGGAGGGGAGAAAGTGGCCAGGGACGCCCCCCATGGAAAACTCAACGAGAGAGAGAACTTTGAGGCGACTTGGGCTATATTTAAATTTTACTCCTTCCAAAAGGAAAAAAACTGATAATAATCAGTCCTGAGAGAGGCCACAGAAACTACACGAAAAATTGTCAATTTTTCCCCGCAAATTTGGTTCTGGATCTGCCCTTGTTTGCTGAGATGACATCATGATATCGGTGTTTCTGAGTGTGTAACTTGTCCTCAAACTGTTCCAAGCCCTCTCAGCGCAGCCATTTTGATCAGTTAAAGTCTATTGTGCTCT